GTTTAGTTTAAAACAAAGACAAGGAGGAAAACAATACCTGTGCATTTATTTTTAACTAAACTTTAAGATCAACTGCAGCAGCACAAGCATGCAACACATGGAAATAAAAAGACTTGGACAAAATTAATTCAAATTAAGCATCCAAGAGACACAAATTCATGTACAAGTAAAAGGAGAAACTATGTAAAATGTATATTAAAAAACATTAAAATTTAAATTGTGTGTTAAAATATATAACTTATTGGAACTAAGTTGAAAAAATAAATATGAAGGTCAATTAAATTTTAAAACGAAGTAAAGTTCACCTTTTTACTTTATTTGGTGCATTTAGAATATATTTATTTATTTAAAGGTTCATTTATCTATTTCTGCTTTTATTTCTAATTATGTCAGTGTCGGTCCTCCATACTGCAGAACTCGGAAGAGGTAGTTCAGTGACTGAATCAGGTGTGTTGGAGCAAGGAAACATGTAAAACATGTAGGGCTGCGGCCCTCCAGGACCAGGATTGCCCACCCCTGATGTAGACTTTCGCCCTCACCGGACTGAGAGTTTGGTGCTCCAGGAGGTGGTGGGGGTCCACCACCAGGAGGAGGAGGCGGGGGTGGGGGTCCACCACCAGGTGGGGGAGGAGGAGGCGGTGGACCGGCACCAGGTGGAGGAGGAGGTGGTGGTGGTGGACCAACTCCGGGAGGTGGAGGAGGAGGAGGAGGTGGTGGTGGTGGACCAGCTCCAGGAGGTGGAGGAGGTGGAGGAGGCGGAGCAATAGTACTGCCTTCTGATGGAGGAGGAGGTGGAGGCGGAGGTGGAGGAGGAGGAGGAGGAGGACCGCCAGAAGCAGGAGGGGGAGGAGATGATGCAGTAGTGCTTGTTTGGGTGCTTGAAGGTGGGCTTTGGATGTACTCAACCACCTTGACGGGCACTACCTGGATGTCCAGACCTCCGGAGGAGTTCCGGCCCACTTGGATGAGCCCCTTGTCCTGCAGCTCCTGGATCTTCAGCTCCAGCTCGGAGGGCGACTGGCTGACAGAGGCGCCCAGACGTTCCCTGTCCTTCTCCCTCTCCCTGTTCAGCTCGCGCTCCCGTTCCCTCTGCTGCAGAGCTCCAACCTGGTTGCACGACTCGCGCAGGCTTTCCTGTAAACACACAGCTGTCAGCGTCTCCACGTCTTCCAGCTTCAAAACCCGTGGTTCTTTTTGTGCCTCAATCTGCTTTCTAAACTTTGTGCGTGTGCTGAAGCATCTCTTACTTTGAGCAGCTCTGTCTCCTTGGTCGCCTGCATGAGCTGAGTCTCCAGCTCAGAGATCCTCTCTGCGGTCTGACCCTCGATCTCCTGAAGCCGMGCGCTCAGCTGCAACCCCAAACACAAAAGCGACACTCCTTTATATTTGCTCCACGCAGTTCAGTTCGCTCACAAAGTCCCATTATTTTGTCACTTCCTACCTGCAAGTTGACATTCTGTAGGTCTTCTACATGCTCCAGCACCCCTCCTCTGTTCTCAGCGTCCTCCAGCAGAGCTCCTACATCCAACACGTTGTCCAGGTAGGCCTGGATCTGGACCTGCAGCTTCTCACTCTCTGTTTGTTTCAGATTCTAACGCACAAAAAAAGGTAACCACTCTATTCTGTGCAGAAAAGAATGTGTATTTATACAGGCATGATGAAACTCCTGCAAGAAATATTTGCCTTTTTTTCACCAGCAAACTAATCACACTCACCTCCAAGTACTTGTCCAGTCCCAGATGAGTGAACTCGTACTGCAGATGGACGCGGAAGTTCATGTTCTCCACCGAATGGACCACAATGTTTATGAACTGCATGCAGGCGACCTGGAGACAAACCRGACAGGTAAATCAAAACATCCAGTCTGGGTTTCTTCAATCGTACATCCTGAGGTGAAGCTGGCAAATCTCTGAGTTCGTACCATGAAGTCAATGTTGTTGTCATCGTTGATGAAGTACTCCATCAYCTTCTCAAAGCGGTTCCTTTCTTTGCTCGCCTGAGAGAAGGTAAAAATATAATAGAGCATTTGAATAGCAGCCAAAACCATAAATGAACATGTTGAACTAAAATCGAATGGATTTATTGTCCCAGTTCAACTGATTTAAGCCAAACACACGCACTCGTTGACTCACACATGTATGACTGTTACACGTGCTAAAACTATGACTACACTGATTGTGAGTGTGGACTGTGTCACTCACAAGATGAGTAACGAGAGAGGGGAAGTCTGCAGGAATGGGGTTACTTAACAACAAAATCTCAGAGGGATATGAAGTACTTAAAAGATAACTAAGAAGAAATAAAAATACCTAAACAGAAAATTACTTTGGTAAAAAATTATTTTCACTGATAAGAAAAGTTCTTAACGACACAGTGTGTAGGATTTGTTGTTTTCAGCAACATCTAGTGCTTGAGTGGTTGAATCATCCTCCCTGGTCCTCCCCCCACCCCCACCCCCGCTTCCAAAACGCAAACGAGTTGCTACGGTGTCTCTCAGGTGTCAAAAACCTTTGATAACTCCAACCGCGATGTCTACCAGCAGCTTCAGGGCTAGTGGTGTTTCAAGTGGTAAGATTATGAGCTTTAATAAGTAAAATTATCCCAGCTACAATGACAGACAACAAATATTACATTTATAGTATTACAACTAAAACCGGTTTTGACGCCGCCACCGCAGTTTGTCCTTCATGAGCCTTCGTAGACAAGATGGCAGCTACCTGTGTGGCGACCCGCGACCATGGAGATATAAACAGCTTTTTATAAGGTAAAAATAATAAAACAAGGTCTTTGTCTGCAATGATTAGACATGTTTTTTTATTATTGTCATTAGTGATTATCTCAATTTCGGCTAAAAGACTTGACAAAATCCTACACACTGTGCCTTAAAGTAAAAGTCATAAAACTGCTCACAATAACCATGAAAGGAAAAGTACTTACTTGTACACACACTCTAAGAAATGAAGTGTTGAATTTACTTTACCAAACTGGTTCCATTAAACCGAGTAGCTTGTTTAACTGTTTCTATACACCTCTGCAAAATCTCCACGTGACTGTTGCAATACGTTAAAATCAACCTAAAAGATAAAAATAAATAGTCACCTCCTTAAAGTTGTCGAAGGCAGAAAGAATGATGTCGTGCCCTCCTCGGACGAGACACACGGCGGCCAGCAGCTCCAACACCAGAGCTTTGGTCCTGCAGGAGAGGAAGAGGGTCAGGCGTGTACACAAACAGGCAGGGACGGTTATCCTCACACACCAACAAACACAAACACACACACACACACACACACACACACACGCTCACCTGGGATTCCTGCTGTTGAGGCTGAGGGTGATCTCGTTCACACAGCGAGGATGAGTCATCACCAAGTTAAAACCAGACTGAAAGGAAAACAAGCAAATGAATGGAAAAACATCTGTAAAGAAATATTTAAATTCAGTCACTTGTTGTAGATTTACTCTTAAGGAAGCCGCAGTTTTATTATTGACCCACTGCTAGACAAATCCGCCAACATTTTAATAATGACAGACTTGCTCTACCTGGTAGTTCATGATGGCTCTCAGGCACATAATGCACACATGGATGTCATCTCTCTGCTGGGATAAATGGGACTTCTTATGCATCTTGTGTGACAGCGTGGCGCTTATTCTAAAAGGTAAAATGAAAGAAATCGAATTCATGCAGTTCAAGCAGCTGTTAGCCACATAACTGGGATTTTTAGGACTCTTTTAGACTAACAGTGCAGAATAAAACGTAAAAACAAACAAAATGGTAATGCGTCGAAATACTTCTGTGCCATAATAGCACGCTGTCCTCAAATTACTTCTGCTTTTTTTGGCACAACTCCATATTTAATGATCTATTTCAACGTGTCTGCTCGAAGTTCCTTTTTGATAAGAGTTTGTTTCGGTGTTCTGTGCTGACAGCCAGGTGATGCTTCTCACCTCACAGTCAAGGCCCGAGCAGCTCTGGTCACCCCATGGGAGTGCCCGCCGCCGCCGCCGCCGCCACCGCTGGAGCTCTTGGTTAAATCCTCCATCGACCTCTCTGCAGGTTTCTGTCTGTCGGACAGCGTGCCGCCATTCTCCACGCTCTCCACATCAAATCTACAGAAGGGTGGAGGTTCGCAGGCGGTCAGACTCTTTTGCCTTTCTGCTCCCGCAGATTCATATTATTCGTTTATTTTTCTGTTGTTATACTCACGAGGTGTCACTTTGAGCGTGAGACAGGTATTCCACTAAAACATCCAGACCGTTATTCTGCTCGTTGAGAAACTCCTGGGCCCAGCTAGAGACAGAGAAACACATCATGAGGCTCGACAGGCTGATTGATTCATAAGATGCAAAGGTTTATGAGCTCAGA